AATATGCTTATACCAAATACAATTTAAGAGTGTTCCACGTTTTTAGATCCTAGGTGGAGACAGCTAACAATCCTGTCATATCCATTCCCTGCTTTTTCCTTGTATTCATAGAGCCACAAATTTAAGCAGGAACATGATGTCCAGTTAGAGATTATACACTTTAGCTTTCTTTTCAGTTAGGTACAGCCATGTAGCTGAGTTTCAGTCTATAGTGTAAGAAAAATACACACCAAATCTAAACTACCCCACATGCCCCATAACATGAATCTGATACTTATCTGATATTTGTATGTATGTATTTTTATATATGTATACACTTATAGGTGCTGCCTTTAAAATAGTCTGGAATGTTGATATAGTGGTAACCCCGTTTTGGAAAATCAGCTACATGCAAACATCTTAGTAAATGGCGGAAAACAAGATTAAAGGAACCTGAATCTGGGAATGACCATATGAAACAAAGGGACCCCCACAAATGGTAGCACTCTCCTGTTATATGACAGAGAAAAACACTTTCATATCATTTAAGCTCTTGCATTTTGTATCATTTTTGCTTTGGTAACTTTTACTATACTAAAATGGGACTTTTTTAACCTGAATAAGGTCCATGGTAAAGATCTAAAATACATGACGTTGACATAGAGGGCAAGTAATGGATGGTAAGAAAAAAATCAGCAGTTTGGAAAGCTGCCAATTCTTGTTATGCCATAGAAATAATCAATTACAATGTTGCCACCCATAATGTGGAAAGCAGAATGCATGCCAAGGAGAAAGCCTTTATGTAGCTCTAAAGCAAAGTGATTAGAAACAAACAAACAGAAACAGAATTTTTGGCATGGGTTGGTTGCACCTTTCTTTTCCTGCCAGATATTTATACAATAGAGATAAGCTCAGTCAAAACTTGAAGGGGTTATATGCAGAAATTAGAAAAACAACCCACATCTTTGGGCTCTTTCAAGGCTGAAAGATACAACTGCTTCTGTTCCCCAAATAAGTCACATTCAGCACTTTTCTCAAAGGCTTTCTTTTAAGACTTTTTCAGCCAAATAAAAAGATCTCCCTCATGCAAATATCAGATTCAGGGTATTGTTCCAAATAAGCTTATTATTTTACAGAGCCAGAAAACAGCCACCACTGCAATGATGAAAGAAGGAGTAAGCCGAGCAAATACAACAGTAATTTAACAGTACGATTCCCTAGATGGAATTGTGCAGTTAATGAAGTATCAAGCCTGGGTGATCAAAGCCTATGATTATCTTATTTCCCCCCAAATGCTTAGTTCTTCAAGTGTGCTCTAGTAAGAAAGAACTTCTCAAAACTACAGAGTCCCAAGTAAGAGTGATTCAGTGTCAGCCTCTGAGTAAAAAAATGTACAGAACCTGGAATTCAAAGTAGGTATATGGAAGAATTGCTTTGCTAGTGTGGATGACTCATCTTGGAACTCAAAACACTGAATTTTTAATTCTCTTTGGGATAGAAACGTAGGCTTTACCTTCACAAGTGCACTCGGTTTCAAATTCTATATGTTAAATATATATACTTTCTTAGCATTTTACTTTCTGAAATGATTTATCATTTGTCTCTTAGCTCTCTGTGGGCATTTTCTACAGGGAGTCTTAGGTCTCACCTTATAGAGCCTTATAGAGTCAATGGTTTAATGTTTATTCAGTGATTATATGTCAGTTTTTATATTTGTTTCTCAGTTTGTAAGTTTTGCAACATGAAGGTGACATATTTTAAAATTCCATGAATAATCTGTGCAGTTTTACATTTAAAATATTCCCGATTTTAACATACATGTTAAATTTAAACTATTGGGAATAAAATTTTCAATACCTACTTTTGGTTAACATAGTATTTTACTGACTACTTGTTTATGTAGGGAGCCACTTTCAATTGTCTACTATTCTTGCAATTGCAACTCTATATAGGCATTAAAATCTTAGAAGTAGGATATATAATAGCAGCCTTGTCAATCCTGTGAGATGTGTGGCTATAACTCCTGCCCACAATGTTATCTAAATTTTTACTCTTTGCTTCCGGAATGGGAGAAGTTCTTTTCCTCTTCCATATCTTAAAATATTTCATCTCACATGTGGTGGAAGAGAAGATTTTCCTATTTGTTCAGTTCACTCTCCAGTCCGGGAGCTAAGATCGAAATATAAAACTACAGAGTATAGAGAATACTTTCCAATGTTCCAAATCTTCTAGACATTCAAAGAAATAAAGAGAAAGGATAAAATAATATATGTAACAAAATAAGTATAAAGAATTGTAGGAATATAAGGAAAACCTGCGTTCAAAAGCAGGATCAATAAAAGAAAACCCACACACTAACCACAGCTTGATGAAACTTTAATGCATCAAGGATAAAGACAACATGCTTAAAAGCATCAGAAGGAGGTAAATTACCAGAAAGAATCGAGAAACAAAGTGATATCAGAAACACTAGATGCAAAAAGACATATGAAATAATATCTCCAAAGTATCAAGGAAAAAAAATTAGCTGGAAGTTCTTGAGCCGCAAATACTATTCAAAAGTAAATGTGGAATAAATATTCCCTCAGGCATAAAATGACTTATAAGCTTTACCAACCATAGAATTTAGATGAATAAAACACTAAAATCTAAACTTCTTTAAAAAAAACTTAGAAGAAATTAGTTCATGCAAGAATCAATAGATCATACTTGCAAATTTATGCTATACATACATGAATATAAATATTGATTTCATAACATTATTATCAGTAGAAAATAAGAGTGTAAAGGGATAGTTTTAAGTAATAAAAATCTGTCAAGATTCTTACATTTGGAAAAATAGAGATGCTGATTAAATCATAATTATCAGTATGAAAAAAATAAAATTAATGTTTGATCTCATACCATGATAAAAGTTCCATATAAAAATAGAAAAGTAAAAATGGTGAAAAGTATGTGGTTATCTAACCTGGGTCCACCAGATCCATCCCTGCTATCCCTCCACTTAGCTTTCTGTTACCCTGGTATCTGGCTTTCCCTTGCAAACACAGCTCTATTATTTTAACATTTTCTATTTTAATATTCTACCAGGTGCTAACCAGGACGTAGGTGTTCTCGCTTAAAAGATTTTCAATAGGGATCCTTGTGACAGTAGTCACAAAGCCTTGAGCTAAAGCCTGAGTTATTAGATCTAATGCTAGTTGTGTTATGTTACAAGACAGGTAAGGGTACCTATCTCTGGATTTTCAAGGCCCTTTAATATCCCTTGACAATTGTCATTGAAAACAAAAATCCTCTTCTTTCATTTGAAAACCTATCACTGAACAAGAATAGAGCTTTTGACTTTAAGACCTTAAGGTGTAATGCCAAAAGCCTACTATTTGTCTCTCTGTGAACATACTAGGCAGAAAAGTAGATATCCTTTTATTGAAAATGCTATGTTTTTATCTGAAGTAAGACTTCGGCTATGCCTGTCTTTTAATGCACTTTGGTTTGCACTAATTCAATGTGATGAAACTCTTTTGAGACTGTGACTGTGCCTATAAGAGCATGAAAAAATCAAATTAGGCCATAAAATTTGGCCCATTCAATTTACATTAAAAGAGAAAAATATGCTAAGCAAGGTTTTCTGTTGTACGTTTTATTGTGTTGAGGCATTGAAATTTTTGGAGGAGTTAATAATTGGTAAAGTTCTATAAGACAGCTCCTTGAATATTACTAAACAAATGTGGAATAATTTAGCTTTTTAACCAATTCTGATACAATATAATTAAAGTGAAAAAGTAGAGGAAAAATAGGCATATACTTTGGTCTTATGCCTGTTCAATGATGGAGAAACCTGATCACCTGTTAGTTTTTGAAGGGATAATGTATTGGCTTTCTTTGACCTTGATGACGCATTCAAACTTGTCCTTTGAGAGTTTGAGAACTATTATATATTTTCACCTTATGTTAGCATCAGTAGATTTTTTTGATGTCTGGTCATATATTTTACATCTTGTTTTGCTCTGCTGAACATAGTTCTTTAAAAACCTTGTATATAGCTAATGCATATTTAGGGATTTGGAAAGCCAAGACACAGTAAGGGAGATGATTTCTCTGTGGGTACCCAACAAAGGTCTGGTGAGGCTGTTGTTCAGGATTTTTTGTTAATGCTGGATCCACCAGCCAATAAGGTGGTTATTAGTAATACATAGGTCTACCAATAGGAAAAGCTTTAACAACTAAACCTCAGAGTATCCCTAAGGGTTTTGTTGTTGTTGTTTGGTTAATCATTATCCTCAACTAACCAGTATTTTAAAATTTTATCCTCCAGGATGAATATTCACGTGATAAAGACAAATAATGCGATAATCCACATATATGCATTAGATTGCCTATTTCTTTCATTTCCACCCAATTCTGTTACAATTTCTTATTTTTTATTTGAAAAGATGGATGATTTTCTAGTATACCAATAAATAATTAGGAATAGAATATAAAATGCATGCTCACAAAAGTAGTAAACAATTCCATTAATACAATTATATGATCACAATAAAGAAAAGCAATTAAACAAATGATTAGATCCCTTTATCCAATGCATTTATTTAATGTAATCAATTTTATACATGTACTATATTAAGTCAAAATATAATTACCATCACATTTTTAGATTCTGTAGTGAATCTAAAATGAGAATTTATATACTTTCTCATTCTTACTTTGCTTGCAGATATGTAAAATTGCCCCTAAGTTTATTGTTTAGAAAATTTTCACAGCTAATTGAGGCAAAAACCTTGACATTTTAACATTTGTACACTTAATTCACTTTTACTTTAAATGCATTAACTTATAGTTGTCACTATATTTAATTCTATACACTGTCTTAATATATTTATTCTTCAAATAATTTGATGTGACTTATATAGACATATGTATAATTTGGTCTGACATAAAAATAAAAAAAGAGAAGAAAATGAGAGTTAACTAAACTAGAATAAGATAGGACAGAAAGATTCATAACACAATGTTTTATTCAGTTGCTAGAGGTCAACATCGAATTTGATTCTCTGATCCCTGGCAGCTAAGGAAGAAGAAAACTTGAATAGCCACAAGATTCTATGTCAGTAAAAGAAAAATATGCCAGGGACTCATGAGAGGTAAACCTTTATTTGGCACTATGAATTAAAGGAATGAAGCCTAGGGCTTTTCATAAAGATTATTCTGGGGAATAGCCTCAAAAATATACTCATCAAAATTTCTATAAATCAATAGAACCATAAAACTACAAATCTATTATAGCATGTCTCAATTTTTTCTTGGTTTTCTTGTACTGGCCATGCAGATACAGCTTATAATAATCCTGTTGTATAGTAATGCCCCTCAAGATTTGCAAATAACTTATTGATAGTGTCATTTCAACCATTTTTTTGAAGAAATCATCTATTTTTTTGTATAACTACTTATCCAAATAAATCATTTATATTAAAACCAGAATGATTAAAATTAAGAGATTATTAACAAGGTATTAATCTTCATGATATAATCTTCTCCAGTGATGTAGCTTGCATAAATTTAATGTAGTAGTCCATTCTTGCACTGCTATAAAGAATATGTGAGACTGGGTAACATAAAGAAAATATGTTTAATTGGCTCATGGTTCTGCAGACTGTACAGGAATCATTGTGGTTTCTGTTTCTGGGGAGGGCTCAGGAAGCTTACAATCATGGCAGAAGGCAAAGGGGGAGTGAGCCACTCAAATGGCCAGACCAGGATGAAGAGAGAAAGAGAGGAAGGTGCTACATACTTTTAAACAACCAGATCTCATAATTCACTCACTATCATGAGAACAGCACTAAGGGGATAGTGCTAACTCATTCACGAGAACTCTGCCTTCATCCAGTCACCTCCCACCAGGCCCCATCTCCAACACCTGTCATTATTATTTGACATGAGATTTGGTGTGGACACAGATACAAACTAAATTGCTAAATGACTGGGAAACTAGAAGAAAACTGCAAAATGATAAAAACAGTTTGAAACCCAAATGATTATTTTTTCCTAAGCATCTTCTTTTTATTTTTTTTGAGACGGAGTTTCGCTCGTTACCCAGGCTGGAGTGCAATGGCGCAATCTCGGCTCACCGCAACCTCCACCTCCTGGGTTCAGGCAATTCTCCCGCCTCAGCCTCCTGAGTAGCTGGGATTACAGGCACGCGCCACCGTGCCCAGCTAATTTTTTGTAGTTTTAGTAGAGACGGGGTTTCACCATGTTGACCAGGATGGTCTCGATCTCTTGACCTCATGATCCACCCACCTCGGCCTCCCAAAGTGCTGGGATTACAGGCTTGAGCCACCGCGCCCGGCCCAGCATCTTTTTTTTTTTTCCATCTGCTATGGTTTGAATGATGATATCCCCTTTGAAATTCATGTTTAAATATAATCATCAATGCAACAGCATTAAGTAGTATGACCTTTGGGACATGACTAAAATATGAGGGCTCTGCCCTTATAAATGATATTAGGCTAAAGAGAGAACTCTCTTTCCCTGGGTCTTCTTCATCATGTGAGGACACAGATTTCCTCCTGCCTGGAGGATTTAGCAAGAAGGCACCACTGTGGAAAAAGAAGTCAGTCCTGATCAGACACCAATCAATCCTACTAATACCTTGATCTTAGACTTCCTACTCTCCAGAATCATGAAAAATACATTTCTATTTTTTAAAAATGATCCAGTCTGTAGTGTTTTGTTATACAGCAGTACAAAGGAACAAAGACAAAATTTTGTCCAGAGAGGTGGGATTGTTGCTGTACAAATATCTGAAAATGTGGAAGTGGCTGTGTAACTTGGTAATGAGTAGAGGCTAGAAGAGTTTGAAATAGCCATGAACAGAGTATTAAAGGCTATTCTGTGAAGGGCTCAGAAAAACAGAAGAGCTGTAGAGAAAGCCTCAGTCGTCTTAGTGACTATCCGAGTGGTCATGATCAGAAAGAATGCTGGTAGAAATATGGACAATAAAAGCACTTCTGATGTAGTCTTAGACAGAAATGAGAAACAAGGTATTGGAAACTGGAGGGAAAGCCATCCTTGTTATCAAGTGGCAAGGAGTGTGGCTGAATTGTATCTATACCCTATTATTTTGTGGAAGGGAGAATTCCACAGTACCCTTAGCAATAAATTAGGATATTTGGCAGAAATCTCTTAGCAAAGGGTTCAGGGTTCTGCATGATTTCTTTTTAACAGTAAATACCTATGAGATAAATGATTTCAAGACAGAATTTATAATCAAAAGGGAAACAAAACATAAAGGTTTTAAAATTTTTCAGCTTCATTATGAAAAGAATAAAAAAGCATGCTCAGGGCTGGGTGTGGTTGTTCACACTTGTAATCCCAGAACTTTGGGAGGATGAGGCAGAAGGTTTGCTTGGGCCCAGGAGTTTAAGACCAGCCTGGGCAACACAGACAACCTGTCTTCTAAAAATAAAATAATAATAATAAATAAATTAGCCAGGTGTGGTGGAATGCACTTCTAGTCCCTGCTACTCTGGAGGCTGAGAAGGGAGGATTACTTGAATTTGGAAGGTCAAGATTGCAGTGAGGTACAGTTATACCACTGCACTATAGCCTGGGTGACAGAGTGAGACCCTGTCTCAGGAAAAGAAAGAAAAGAAAAGACAGAGAGAGAGAGAGAGAGAGAGAGAGAGAGAGGAAAGAAGGAAGGAGGAAGGAAAGAAGGAAGGAAGGAAGGAAGGAAGGAAGGAAGGAAGGAAGGAAGGAAGGAAGGAAGGAAGGAAGGAAGGAGAGAAAAAGAAAGAAAGAAAAAGAAAAGAAAGAAACAGAGAGAAGAAAGGGCATACTTAGGAGAGAAAACCAAGGGCCTAGCCAAGTGGTCGTTTGTTAGGGAAGTTAGTATGGATAGAAAGAAGCTAGATCAAGACAATGGGAGATTGACCATGAAGGCATTTGATGATCTTGCAGGCTCGCTATCACAGGCCCACAGTGTTAGAGTCTTGAGGGAAGGACAGATTCAAAAGAGGGGCCTTGGGCATCTAATGGACCTCAGTATTCACTGCTCTGTGCTGCCTTAAGTCTCTGCTCCCTATATTATACCTATTTATTATTTCTATTTTATGAATAGAGGCAATTTGCATTTAATCCTATGACATTTACTTATTCAAAGAAAACTAAATGTATATAAATTGGAAATGCTTTGTAACTTGGTAAGAAATTTAATGACTTTTTATGTAATTTACAGGTAATTACAAATTGGCAAATACATACAATGTATGTGTGTCAAGCAGAATAATGGCTCCGCAAAGATGCCCATGGCCTAATCTCTGGAACCTGGTAATGTGTTTAGTGATGTGGTAAAGGGGGAAGTTTGTGAATCAGTTGACATTAAGTAGGAAGAATATCCTGTATTATCCAGGTAGGCCCAGCATAATCCCAAGGTTCAGTAAAAGCTGCAGAGGGTGGCAGAGTCAAAATGAGGCACTAGAAGAAAAGCTCAACCTGCTATTGCTGACTTTGAACACAAAGGAGGAGGCCAGGAACCAAGGAAAGTGGACAGTCCCCAGCAACTTGAAAAAGAAGAAAATACATGCTTTTTTTATTGCCTCCAGAAAGAAATGTAGTCCTTCTGACACCTTGATTTTAGTTCATTGAGGTCCCTTTTGGACTTCTATCCCATGGAAATGTAAAATAATATATTTTGTTTTAAGCTACTCAATTTGTGACAATTTGTTATTTTAGCATTAGAAAATTAATTCAATATAATCTAGCATTATGGTTGTGTCTGCAGTGTTTATATTTGTCTACATCATGAAGATCTCCATGGCTGATAGCATACATTCTCTACATGAACAGTATGGCATATAGATAAGCTGTATTGACAGCTTCATTTCATAGCTAAATTAACAGCTTTTAAAATCAACGTCCTTATCGTTGATAGTTTAAAACTAGTTCTTTCAAATGATTTCCAAATAGTCTTCTGTAAAATATAATAAAAATGTTTATTGATCATTCTGTCACCAGATTTAAATTATTCTATTTAAATTATTGACACTCAAAAGTAGGTTTTTTGGGAAAAAAAGTTTAAAGATCTATTAATTCCAGGAAGCCACAATTTTAATATCTGAACTATTTAAAAGGAAAATGTAGGATTTAGAGGTATTAATTGATTTAATGATAATTGATTACTTGACAACAGAGGTGTTTTCTCAGACAAAAACATGAACTTTTTTCATCTTAATTGTCTAGAGAAATATATCTCACTGAACCATTGTAAATATTTTAATAGTAATTTTATTTCTACTTGGCTCTTGGGTATTAATGCTTGCTCCTACTCATTTTTTTTTAGCCAAAATGATAATTCAACTCTTTCTAATGATTTCAAATGTGTCTGTAAGAGAATTGAGTGACTTGGTCTAAATAATTTGTCATTATGTGGTAAAACTACAGAAACTTTGAAGAGACTTTTTCTTATCTGCTTGTGCCATTATTAATCTTAAAATTTGCATAATAAAGAATATAATTAAATGAAAAAATATATCACCCTCTTGCATGATGATTGCTATAAGAAAACAATCAAGGGAAAACAAGTCTGATAAAAACAGAACATCAACAGTAAGGAGACAAAAAGAGTGGGGGATAATTATCCATTCACAGATAAATAAAATCAGGAAAGCAAATGAGCAGATGGAAAAAAAAGTCCAGCAAACAAGCTAACAAAGCTAAGTCCCAGAGATGTGCTCTGCCTCCATGGAGACAAATTATCATAACTTTCCTCTTAGATCTAAATGAAGGCATGGTTTAATTTGTGAAGTTGTTTTTCTCTTAGACAACCTTAGGAAAGAAACTCACTTTTGAAATCTATCTTGTGGAACAAAAGGAGCTGATTCTGTGTTTTTCCACATTAAACTTAGAAAAATTTACTCTTGACATAAATGGAGATGGATACAGCTATAAATTCAACCTTTAGAAAGAACAAATTAAAAATGATCTATAGAGGGCCAGGCGCGGTGGCTCACGCCTATGATCCCAGCACTTTGGGAGGCCGAGGCAGGTGGATCACGAGGTCAAGAGATCGACACCATCCTGGTCAACATGGTGAAACCCCGTCTCTACTAAAAATATAAAAATTAGCTGGGCACGATGGCGTATGCCTATAGTCCCAGCTACTTGGGAGGCTGCGGCAGGAGAATTGCTTGAACCTGGGAGACAGAGGTTGCAGTGAGCCAAGATCGCGCCATTGCACTCCAACCTGGGTAATAAGAGGGAAACACCATCTCAAATAAAAAATGATCTATAATGTTTAAAATTGATCAGAATTGATAAACCCATAATTCTAATAAAAAATACATTATGAATATGAAAAATGCAAACAGCTTTCTCAAATGACAATTCATTTGTAGGACCAGGAATTTACATTCTGTTAAAGGGATAATTGTGTATCTTTACCCTGTTCAAAGAGGGATGGAAATAATCTATTATGTTGTCAACCAATCTCTTTCTATTCTTGAAGATATGATTGTCAAGCCCTCCCAACTCTGCTTTTATATCCATGCCACTCTCCTTTTTTACAGCTGTGATTGTCTTAGCTCATCTTCAACTCTTCTTGTCTGAATTAATCTAGTAACTTCTTAACTAATCTTTCTGCATTGATCTTACCCCCTCTGAAATCCAGTTTCCACACTGATTTCAGAATAATCTTTCCAAAGAAATATCTGAACTTTTATTCTCCATGCTGAGAGTCCAAGGATGGCTCCCATCACCGTCAACTTCCACCCAAACACTGTGGTATACCCATATAAAATTCTGAATCAAATAACTCCTTTCTATATTTTCCATATACTTTCCACACTGGCCTTCCTTGAATCACACTTGTATTTCCATATTATCATTCTATTTAGTGCATTCATTCACTCAACAAACACTTATTAAACATATTCTCTAGTAGCTCCATATATTTGACATGCTCTTGGTTCTGAGGCATGTCCTGTTCCTTTTGTCTGACTGATATGTTCTACCAAGACACCAGTTCGGTTGGGAGACCCCCACCCAGGGAGGTTGAAGACATTGAGAGGCAGACACCCAGATAGCACAACAGAGTGGATTTATCCCAGGGACCAACATCCTGAGAGTCTCTGGGGCTGACAGCTCTCCAGACTGAAGGCCCTAAGCAGATTTTCATCCACATATTTATCTGCGCTTTGACAGGTGAGTCTCATTAATACACGTGTTCTACATATACACATAACTCAAGAATATATCAAGTAGGCAACTGTTACCTGCCTACCACTAATTACAAACTAAAAGTATCTTGCACAAGGGAACCATGGGGGCAGGGTAAATTTAATGTTCCTCAACAATGTTCTCCATACTCTTTTCTGCCTCCAGGAAGAGGGCCTTCATAAGCCCATGATAGAACTTACATTTCAGGGCACAGCTGTGCAACTCTATATGATATAACGGCATATTTTGTGGTACTTACCTGAGCCCACACACTCACCTGCCTTTTCTGAAAACTACCTATCAAATTGATCCATGGCAACCAGCAATTGCATATTACAGGGGCTTGCCTCTAAATCCCTACATTTAATTGGACTAGGGGTAGATTACTTATCCACGATGGTCAAATAAACCAATAAAGTTTTCTGTCCTGAAAATTGTAATTCTGACTTACTTATTGTGGCTTTAATTTCTTCCTTTATAAAATGAGAGCACAAATAATGATTTATCAGATTCACTTTAGAAATTAGTTAGAAAATGGAAAATAACTAACACAGACTAGGTAATAAGTAAATAGTCCATGACTAATGTCTGTTAGTTTTATTTACCTCAAGTGTGGTTACATCTGATGAGAAAATTACATCTAAGGACTTTGCAAATTAAGTATTATGCCAGTAGATATGTTTTTCTAATATAAATTCACAATTTCAAAACCAATATATATGAATTCTTGTGACTAAAGTGACTAATATATTAGGCCACAGGCCAAGGAGAGCATCAGAAAACCCCAGTACACATTCTTGTGATATAGATATCAAAACTGTCATAAGAGTTTAAGTTAAAGCATGAAACTTCAAATATACATATATATAATATTTATATTCATTTGTATATGTTTATCTTTAAAGATACCTGTAATATATATTTTTATATGTTTAATATATATCTCATATATGTGTGTGTGTTTTTGTGTAAAACTGGAATTTTTTTATATTCCCAAATGTTCTCAGATATGAATTTGTTCTCTTTGGTTCTAAACATAACTTTGGTGATAAAAGCTTAAAATAATTATCTAAAATATATAAAATGAATTGTTAATACAGTAAAGAAGTTGCCATAATTTTTCAATTCTTTTATTCTTGAATTAGAATAAACAAAGAGAAGACTTCAGAAAGCTTGCATCCATAAAAGGGAAGTCAATTTCCTACACCACACTTATCTTGTTCACTTTCTTATAATTTATATTCCGAGAGCCAACAGGAACTTATTTTTTTTCTCATTCTCAAGGACATAGAGTTAGCAGTCTCCAAGATGCAGAAGTGGGTCAAACTAGGATAAAGAAAATAAATCACAGTTCAAGGTCTATGAAGACCCTGGCTCTGTTTCTTCAGAAAAGGAAACTGTTCATAAAACATCAGACCAGAAAGTATAAGTAAATATTAGAAATCTGATATAAAATGTTGATGCAAGTCTAATACTTGAGTTATATATAGCTTTCAGAGGCTTTAGTATGAAATGTGACATTTTCACTAGGAAGAGCAATTATTATATACAACAGTCGGTATAGAAATCCTGTAAGACATTGCCATTTACTAAGGTATTTGGAAGAAAACTGAGAAAAGAGGCAGCAGCCACAACAGCAACAAAAAAGATAATGATTGAAAAAAAAGTATAAAAATATATTTCAGTTTTACTTTAATTTTATTTAGTTTTAAATAAGCAGAGCTGTCACATGGCTCAAAATTCAAAAGATTGCATTGAAAAACTTTTGAGCCACACTTGACCCAAAACCACTCAAGTCCCATCTGCGAAAGCAACCAAGGTTACCAATTTCTTATGCGCTAGTCTAGAAATATTTTTGTTTACATAAGCGAATATGCTCCTATAATTTTTATTCCCCCTATTTTAGACAAATAGTAGCATTTCATAATACTCTTCTGCTCCTTGCTTTCTTCACTGGGCAAAAATCACTCCACAATATTACATGAAGTGTTTCCTCTTTGAAATCTGAAGCATATGCCCTTCATAAATGTACAATAATTTTTGTTTGTCAAATGAATGAAATAGTTCTGATTTTTCACTCTAGTCTTTCAACTCACATCTCCTCAAAAAATCAGATGTGAAACAAATTTGCTGATCAGCCCTAGAAACCCAGTTCCATGCTCAAACTGGGGTCATCTACTCCCCCAGGCTAGGTTAGAGGAGGAGAGAGGATGCCAAGCTTCCTCCTCTAAACTCACTGCTTCAGGAATAGCACATTTTTCCTCATATTACACATTACTTTTTCTGCCTATTCACAAAGTAATTAAGCTCATTAAGATGGTTTGTTGAGGCTCCCCCAAATGCAAATGAAACCTACTCACATGAATTATTAAAATTTTTTCTTCCTACAGAACAGTAAATGCAGTTTCAACTGGCGAAAGAGCCTTTCTGAAAAATGAGTAACTGATTCCATTTTGAGATACAAAAAGTTATTGAGATATTTTCATGATGGTATTTATATTTTAAAACTATCTCAAATTAGGCATTCCAGTTTTAATTTGGAAGACACACATGTA